TCTAAGCAAGGACTGATATTCTATCGAGTTCTCAGGATAGCAACCTTTGATCCTTTCAAATAGTGAAAGTGAGACTTTCCTGAGAGTCTCACTGTAGCTAGATTTTTGGAGGGGCGGTAAGTACACACTAGACTCTCCCTTCCAGCAGAGACCAGATAAGTATTAAAAATAAATCTCTAGTGAGGTAGATTACTATATAGAAGGCACTTCTGGATCAATAAGACCTCAAGCTATAAATGCTGGGGGGAAAGCAGAGAGAACATTCAAGAGAAATATCATATATGATTGCCTTGTTCTATATTCTTCCCAGAGTCTCCATCTTTGGCCACAGTGGGCTAGAAAGATCTTTGGAATTGCCTCAAGAGATTGCTCTTCCTTGTGAACCACTACTTTTGCTATTCTTGTTTGCCAGTCTTAACTTCTGTCTACTTCTTTCTCCATTGTTACCTATTCTCGGTTTTTTTCTTCCCATTTCTTTACCTGCTGTCATCTTATCCCTACTTCTGACCCGTTTTTTCTTTATTCATTCCAAACACATGACACATGCTAAAAATACAAGAGATATTGATCTTTATATGGTGCAATTTTATTTCACACTTCAGATAGAGCAACAAGGCACATGTACTCACACTTCAGGATCATTGTTTCAAATCCACCTGCAGACTTAAAGATAAATGCATGGCGATTTTATTCTGATAGTATTTTCTTCAAAAGACCAAAATAATAATGTACTTTCCTTTAAAAATATATATATTTGCACACTACCTAGGCTACAAACACTCAGCAGCAAGGAAGCAGGCTATGAATCACCTGTTTTACACCTTTGCTCTACAGAAGAAACATCTCCAGATGGCAAGAATATGGAACAGCAAACATTCCCTACCTTTTCAGTAACAAAATTCCACAGGCGGGAGTACGCAAGCCCTGCAAAATGCTGACAATCAAACACGGCAGGGGCTGGGGGAGGAACGGACATGTATTTGGGGAAGGGACAAGAAATAAAGCAAGAATATGCCATCCACTGTGCGAGATCTGAGGGAGGGAACAGAAAAAAAAAATGTTCAAGAGTATTATTTCTCTTCCCTTACCCAAAACACTCTCCACAAACATTTCAGAGAGTTTACACATTTGCAAAAAGGAGTATTTTACACATTTGCAAAAAGGAGTATTATAGAGCAACACCTTTCTAAGTATTCAGTTCATGCAAAACATACTAATAGAAGAATGATCAATTGTAAAGGGATGCTGGAAAGTCAGAATCAGCCTATTTCAGGTGTTGAGACAACATCTAGAGGACCAAATATAGTACCCAAAGTTATAGCTTCTGTGGAAAAGAAGCTTCAAATACTGACTTGTTTACATACGATTTCTCAATTAAACTTATTCAGATAAAATCCCTCCTACCATGTCAAAAATTCATCTGATCAAAAATTAAGATTTATTTATAAAAATAAATCTGCTGGACTTTTTGCTCTTTAGGCTTCCAGCTGTGTTTTTATTATAGCATTATCCTACATCCTATATTCTTCCTAAGGATTGGCTAGGCTCAGGGTTTAAACAGCTTTTTTGGCAAAAATGATTACGTTTTAATGATAGGTTTATTCTAAAAGCAAAATTTTTCTCTTTCCTACCTCTCTGGACAGTCTTCAGTAACAATCTAGATAGCAACACTCATCTGTGTAGTACTACTATTGAAAACTAATATACTAAATTCTTCATAATATAATATTAGCTGATGTTTAGACCTTGACCTCTGTAAGTGCTTAAAAACGAAATATCAATTTGTTTCTGAATAAGTATTTGATAAGCACAGACTGCCATCTAGTGATTTTGATTACCTACGAAATTGAAAATAACCTCTTCTAGCAGAGGAAAACATGAATTCCTTCATGTTTTACATCAACACATAGCAGTAACCTCATATTACAACACTTGTATCTCCTATTACTGTGTTCATGGTAAATGGAAATGGGGGATGGAGAAGAAGAGCCAGCATGTAATCTTCCCTAAACAGGTAAGATCCCTGGGGCACCTTGCCCATCAATTCTGTCTGGAGTTCCTTCTTTCTTGTGTAGACTCTACCCCTTATATAAAATAAGTACTGCATCCTCAGCTTACTTTATATCCAAGCCACCTTTGATAGCCAGCCACACTCCTCTTGAAATTTGTGACTGATTTCATTATTAGAAAAGAAAGAAATCAAAAGTTACTTGTGTCATCTCAGCTGTCTAAAAAAGTTTAACTTTCGTTATGCGGGTGACTCCTAGATCCACCTTTTAAATTTAGACTTCTCTTCCCAACTTGTATTTCAGATATTGCCATCATTTCCTTACAGGTACCTCCTCAGCAGCATAATTACATAAGAACTCTTATCTTAATTACTCTGCCTGTCATGCCTTTTCTCTCAATCACCTTCAACATCAATTCAATTCTCAGCTAGACCTAAACCTTGGAATGTGCAAGAGAAACACAAATCTTAGGAAGGCCTTTCCATAATAGATTTGTAAGACAAACTTGGTTTTTAAGTAGGAACACAGTAAGAAACTTCTCAAATTTCTCCTTCTCTTCCAGCCAACACAACACTTTGTCTGGCAAATACAGTCTTTGCAATGCTCTAAACGAATGTGAAGATATAGTTCTCCTGTCCTGTCAGTCTGATCTCATCAGTTTATGTACCTATCCATCTTGTTTTTCAGTCATATGAAATATGAGCCCTCCTTATTTTTTTCCTCATCAAATCTATTATCTGATTCACTACCAAGAGGCCAACACCATTTCTGATCAAAATGCAATACTAGCTTTCATTGGCCCTTGTTGAATTTTCACATAAGTACTTTGACAATTTCTCATGTTCTCTCTTATGCTTTAAAGGAGTTTTCAAATATTCCCAAAGTCACATCTTATTATCCTCAAAAAAAATTCTAACTAAAAATTTTGCTGTTTACCAAAAAATCTGATTCTAGTTATGCTGCTGATATGCTACAACTGTAGCTTATCATATTGACAATTATAGTTTAAATATTTCTTCGCACTTCCTCAACAGTATCCATCTCAAAGCTCTCTAAAGCAGAGGCCTTCACTGAGTCTTGGAACAGTACTGGCACTTTTTAATACAACCACAATAAAATGCCATTACAAAGATGAAATCATGACATTTCCTTTATTCCAATGGTGTAAGACCTTCTTGCATCAAAAAAAACCAACAAAATACTCTCACAGCAGAAATATACACAAAGTTTATTCTTTTTTTTTCCTTGTAAACTAGAGTTATTCACTAAAAATCAGAAAAGTTGCTTATGATGCTCCTGTTGCTTATTTCCCAAATGAAGTCTTCTATTGCTCATTTTCAGAGTAACCAAATGCTGTTTCAGAGACCTCATTTTGAGGAAGACTAATAAACAGAGTTAACATACTACACCAGAGCCAAGAGGTCTAACTAAACTCCAGCATGCAAAACAAGATCATTACTAGTAAAAGTCCTGTAGCCTATCCAAACTATTTTAATATTAATGTGTAAGCCACAGAGGGAAAAACAACCTCCTAACAACTGAGAAACAAGAATACCAAATAAAGTTATGTTTCTAAAACTTCTTAAAAGTAAGTCTTCTTCCTCCCCTACTTTTTGGTCCTGTTTTCTTGTGACCTCTAAGGTGACAGTAATTCACCTCCTCCAGATGAGGGTACCGAAATACATCTAATTACTGGCTGCAGGTGGTCCCAGTCACTTTTGTGCCCTGAAGAAACTAAGCTATTGTTACCTAACGCTTCATAACCTTTTTCTTCTGTGTAATAGCTTAAGGGGAAAGACAGCAAATTCCAGACTAAAAACCACCATGTTAGCGTATCTTCCACCAATTTCCAAAACCTTGCCAACTGCTATGTATTACCAAGCGTGTAGTACATGAAACACTGACTTTTTTTAGCATTCCAATTATTTTCTGCAACAAAATCGGTAGTTCAAGAAACCACAAGTGGATAACCAAAGGAGAAACATTAATTTGAAGAACAGGGATGTACAAAAAATCCTCCAGATATGTCAGACATCATTGACTAGGTGATTAGACTCTATCCATCAAGAACTGTGAATATGACACTTGCATTTTCTTTCAGATTGAATGCTGCTACACCAACAAAGCTTCTTCTTCTCATCACCTTTCTTAGAAACCTTGATACTCAGCTACAGGAGGATGTCCACGAAAAGCAGTGAAGCTAAACTTCTTCTAAATCAGGCACAATATAAAGATGAATTTATATCACAGACCAGAAACTATCAAACACTCTTGCAAGTTTTTATTTTTTTTTCTTCTACTGAGCTCACCTCAACTATCTAAGGTCTGAGACGATTAAGTTCTATCACATTTTTCATATAAATTTGCAAATCTGTTTGTTTTCTAAACTAATGGAGAGAGAAAAAAAGACTACTTCTATTATTACGATTACTTTGAGGCAAATGCTGTAATATTTTTCTGGATCCCTTCACATAAGTCCCTCAAAGAAGTAAATCAATCACATTCTAGTTGAAGCACAAGCATAGTTATATCATTTCTACACTGGCTTTTCTAAGGCATATTAGAAAACAGTATACTTAAGGATCTAAATCCATTTTAACGTAACTTTTGCTGGCCCTTAGCAGAAAGAATCAACAACAATACAAGGTCATGCTTTTTAAGAGGCTTAAATTTAATGGGAGTAATTAAATGGGCACACACTGTTAAGTATCTGGTCCTATCACACACAAAAACCTGAAGTTATACTGATAAAGACAGTTGAAGAAATAGAAAAGACTCAAGAAATGATGTCAACAAGTTCAATGACTTTGAAAACTTACATAAACAGTAACAGATAATCAAAACATTTTCCATTTTCAAGGACAGAAAGGAAAACAAAAGACCTTTTACAAGATTTCTCTTCCACAGATTCTTGTCCCACAAACCATATGGAGGAAAAAAAGCGGAAAGATTCTTATTTGAAAGCAATGTTTGATTAAAAAGCTAACTTACCATATTTGTCTCGCAAACCAACTGTACACCTGAAGACTCCACCAAAGGCTACATCTTCTCCAAATATTACTGAAAAATAAGAAGAGTAAAGAGGGCTAAGGTGACCCCAATGCAATTTATTTTTAATCACATTGTTTCAAAGGGTTTTTTTTAATATACTAGACACAGTAAACGCAAGTAGCACCTAACATGATTCATTTGACTTCAAGATTTAGCTAGATCTCTAAGTGGTTCCAGTGCACAACTTAACTATAACAAAAGGAGAACTAAACTTAATAAAGAATCAATACAGCAACACAACTATTTGCCAAAATAAAATTAATTTAGCCATGGCTTCATCAAACCACCTATTTACTTTTCTCTGTACCATCACAACTTCTAACTAAAAGCAATTTAAGAAACAATTATATTCAGTCACTAAAGAGTCATTGATGCTGTGTGTTCTACTTTGGTAAGCATTTGCACTCTTCATATGCAAATTTCAGTGAATCTAGTCCTTTGAAAAACATTGCATTGAAGCGTTCTTCAAAAATATAATCTAACATGAAACATATTAATCCAATATGAATATTTCAAACTTTCTCTACACTTACCTGCCAAATTCCCCAAGAGTGACCTCAGAGAAAGTGAAGTACATCTCCAGATAATCTTTCTACTAATTCATTTGTATAATTAATTTGTTTGCATTTTCTGATACTTAAAATCTTCCTAAGGCCTTTCCATTACCATATGGCTAGTTACTTTTGAGCCAACTGGCATAAAAAACATCCCCTTTCATGCTGCCATCAGCGAACTTCCATGGACTTACTCATTCTTTTCAGCCACTGAATATATTTTCCTGGACGGAATCTCAATTCTCATCAACACAAGCATGATGTTTTCCATTATTTAAACAAGAGTTGCTCAATTCCCATATGACTAAAAACATATGAAGGACATGCTTTCTGTTGCAAAAACTACTAATGAATTCAGTAAGTAGGCTCCGGATTCACAAATCTGGACTTTAGAACTCTTAACACAGTCTTGCAAAGCACTTTGCACAGATCCAGCCCTGCAAAGCTAAGGAGCAAGACTGGAACCTAAGATCACCTAGAATGCTGAAGATGACATGAATTTAGGTTCCCACTGGACTAATGTTCTGCTTACTTTCATATAGCTAATTCTACAGAAATGGTACTAGAATACTCTTCTTGGCTCTACTTCACCTTTAGTTGCTTAAGTCTGTTTTAATAAAGCTGATTGTAACACAGCTCTATAGCTTGAGATGGAATACATACAGGCATAGAACCGGATACACAACATGAAATTTATCCTAACAGATTAGACAATTAGTGAGACTTCAAATTCAGCAGTGATTTAAGCAGTACCAAAAGAGTTATGCTAAAAGGAAAAGAAAAAAAATTACACAAAATCATACAGCTTTTGCAGCTGTGTTCATGCCATTATACATCTCTTTCAGATATCTAGCATCATCACACCTTTTCTTACAACAGAAGCAATAGACCTCCTGTTATGCATAAGAATTAAGAGTAAAATAAAAGAAAACAATTTTGTGCAAAAGAAAGAGGTTAGGATAACATTGCAGTTTGATTAAAGAGAGTTACATTTCATTTTTAACTAGCTACTTCAAAGTTATAGGTTATCCAGACTGCAAGAGACCATAACATTTAACATTGCCTATATGCAGCAATGAACTGAAATCAGGAAAGCTGGAAAGGAATTTTGGAGGGCAAGGAAGGAGAGAAGGAGGGAGAACGGGTAGAAGGAGAGGGAGTCTTAAAAAAAAAAAAAACCACCACCCATTTTTTTTTAAGCGTCCAGATTTGAAGGACTTAAAATGAGGATTTAAAATGAGGGATCCAGGCTGCCTATAAGTACAGTTCACATCAACAATACCCAGAAGTATGTTAAGAAACCTATGTTTCTGTCCCAACTTACAAGTGAAACACACTCAGTTGACACAGGAGGTAATAATAGCTTAGATCACATAATCCATTAATAATTTGTTAATACTTAAAGTGTTTTATTAGGATTTAAAATGTATAAATTAAAGTTTTGTTTGAGGCTCAGTAAAACTGCATAATTAATTAAAATGTTTAAAGGACCACAGAAAATGCTTTTAATATTGTACACAAATAGGCAAAATAGATCACCATTTTTACACAGCAAGATGCTTATCAATGATAGTATACCTGCAGTTGGATCTTTGGCTAAAGCGTTATCCAAGGCACTCGTTATTGACTGGAAGAGATTCATCTTCTGAGTTTGCCCTGCATGAAAGGGATTATTTAGCTATTTCATTCATTTCAAAAGTCAAAATACATTATAAAACATCGGAGCAAAATAGATTACTAAAAACTTAGCTAGGAGCCATAACAAGCCCCCTTTTAGGAGTACCTCAATGACTCATTTGCTGAGTAACTTCAAGCTATGCTATAGAGTACAATATATTCTGCAGTTCCAAGGACTACAATTCTGCTGTCCAGCGCTCAGACTTTTTTGAAAAACTATGCTCATGGCTACAGCAAACACAGCCTGCTCTCTGAACTGCAGTTCAAATCGGGCAGAAGTATCAAACCTACATTCCAAATAACAAGGAAACACGCTGGATGCTGAACAGCTATATTTACAAAGGGCGAAGTAAATGCACTAGTCTGCTATAGTAAGAAAACCTTCAAAAACAAAAAAGACTCCCTGTGTTCCCTTCTTCACCTCCAGTACTGCAAGGACAGAAAATGGGCCTGAAATCAAAGATGGAAGAAAGCAATAGCTCAGTTACCACTGTTGTGACCAGCTGGAATTCTGCAAGCAAATAAAATAGTGCCTTATAAGAAATCACCTGGCTGAAATTTGGTAGCAATTCTTTAACTAACAAAAACTGTGTCCAGATCATGATTGAGAGTGGCTACACTAAGAGAATATTACCTACCAGCCTACACAGCTTGTCAAAAAAAAAGTATTTATTGAGGTGAAAATCCCAGACAAATGTGAGAGCAGGATTTGGAAACCAGACAACAGAACAACATTCTCTCTCCAGTAGCTAAAGCATCTCTCAACAACCATTCAGCTTGCCTCCCTCTTAAACTGTTAATTAACGTTAGCATATTTTGTTGCCACCCCAGAGCTGGGTAGCTGAATTCCATCATTCAGAAGCTTCACTTGTTATACTTTTCATGACCTTTTAAGAAGAGGATGCTATAAATGGAACTGCTATAGGAGCTTTTCAAATCATACGAAAGCTACAATATAACCAACGTTTACAAATTCAATGGAGGGGAAGCAGAACAGCAGTTGTTTCTTTTTTCTCAATCATCCACATAAGTATTTAGGCTATCTTTTCAACAAAATACAATCCTTTCAGTATTTGATATAAATAAATGCCTCTTACTCCAGCAACTGCCAGAAACTCTTAATATTGACCATTCTGACCTGCTGCCCTCACTTATAATAGAAAGGTTCCTGTATCAGCCCCTGCAGGAAAAGAAAAACTATTTGCACCTTTTAGATTTGAATTGTGGAGTTGGGGATGCAATGTCTTAACAGTATCAAGATCAATACTGACTTTACTGTATTTTTCTTCCACCGTTTTTCAGACAATTTCAAAGCACATTTTAAATCAAAGGGAACTAATTTTCTATTAATAAATAGTAACAAAATCAGGCCTGTTCCACAAGGGCTTCTTCACTATAATTGCAAGCAGAGATCTGCAGCATGCAGGCTTTACTCTGCTACATCCTGAATGCCTGTACTTCCAGCAGCCTATATTTTAAGGACTAATGGAACTTGCTCAGAGCTGTCTTTGACTTCATTATCAAGTAAGAGCACCAAGGTATTCCACTGAATAATTTCCTTCCAGAAGACAGAGGTTCGTGTGAGAGAAAGAGCTACTCTACAGAAAGAGGGCTTCTTCCAGAAGAACTCATCACTACTCACTTACACAGAAACATCTCAGAAATAAAGTCAAAACACTAAATTTCATTCTCAGTCACTCATTTTCAGCTCATCTGTGTTTACCCCAAATCTGGTAATCTCAGACTTTTACTAGACAGCAGCCTTTATTAATCACAGGCCTACTACGAGGTTTGTGGTTTAAGGGTGTGATAAAGAGAGATGAGTGTAAGGCACTGAGTAAGTTCCTCCTAAACCGTGTACCACTGCGGGATTTCGAGGGCAGGCCCCGCTAGGGCG